TTACTTTGACCATGATGAGCATATAATATTATAACACTGCAGATTACAGCAGTGGTATAAACAGGTCCACTTAAATGATATTAAGTGATATTAAGCTCCACAAGTAGAAAAAAAAACATTGTTAAATTGAAAAAAATTTAATTAAATGAATCCTAAAATACAGAGTTTGATTGCCAAAATACTTCTTCAGTCACCTGCTGCACCTTCAAGAATTAATTTTTTTCAGTCGTGTTTTCAGTAGTCAAACCAAAGTCAAATCTCCAGTGCAGGTAAACATGAGTTTAAGATGTAGCAGATTTATTATACCAAAATGAAAGTACTTGTACTGCATGACTGCTGCTCCAAACAAAGACAAAAACCATCAACTCAGATGAACAAAAAATTTACTTACGTCTTACTTCGGCTGAAGAAATGCTGGCGCAGTACAAAAGCCAGAGTAGAGAGAAACATGATGGTGGTGCACATGGTCCCAAGAGTCCACCACCACCACCCTGCATTCACAGAGAAAGCAGCCTCAAAATATTCCACCCATTCTGTAAACCTCAAGCACAGCTGAGAAAACCATTTCCCAGTTACCAGGTGTTTGTCTCTCCCCTTGCCTGGATCAGGAACACAGGAGGATTAGTCAATCCCAGATTAGAAAGGATGATATGCTGCAGAATTGAAGAACAGCCCTGCACTGCACATATAAGCTACAGTGTGTGTGCGCACTTGTTGTGCATGATTCATGTTTCTGCACTGCTTGATTTTCCATGAAATGCAACTGGATTTTTTTTCAGTTATTCTCCAACTTTTTCTGCAGCATATAATATCAGCTGCTGTAACATCTATTATCCAACAACCCGCCCTGTCCGGCCGGCCTGCCTAAGTTTTCCCCAGTCACCTCATCATCAGTTGCTGCACACCTGCCCCTCATTTCCCCAATTATCTCCTGGTTCATCTTCAGGACCGACTATGCACTTCAGCTTCGTTTGTTATCATTAAAGCCACTTTCAGTTTCTCTGTCTGGATTTCTTCATCCAAACTGTGCAATTAAACCAAGTGGAAACTTCCAGGGCTGAAAGAAATTAAACCAGCAAAGAAGGGCCAAACTGAAGTTCCTTAAATGGCCACTTGAGGCTGACTGAAAACATGAGTCAATCTCCATAAACTCCTGTTTTAACCCTTTCACGCATAGCGGTCACTACAGTGGACAGCTATTTAAAAGGCTGTTTTCTTGTATTTGTGTCAGTGTTGATGGTATACCTGCATATAAACCACTATATTGGACACTGATTCGTCACTCCATACATAGCAGTTGTCCATCTAAGTGGATATGTAAAAAAAAAACCTCTTTGAAAAGTACATGTTTAAAAAGTTCAAAAATATTTTTTCATGCCTAAAGATGAATAAAAAAAACAAAAAACAATTGGTACAAAAAAATAATTTTGATCTATAAAGCCTAATTCCCTTCTCTGAACTTTAACGCATTACTTATTTATCAGGTATTTGGGCATTAATCATCTCTCATTAAATGAGAGATGATTAATGATGATCTCTCATTAATAAGATCATTTGGAAGAAGTGAATGTGATTTATAGAGACAGAGAAATTTTGATATACTTGGATTTTAGACTCCAATAAACCATGGAGGCACAGAATCCCAGCGGTGATCAGATTTAGGACAGAACCCCTGGAGTCTAGACGCTGGTGATGATGAAGAGCAAGACTTGGGTAAAGCTCAGACTTGGGTGAGGGGGAGATGGGGAGGAAATGGGTTGCATGAAGGAGAAAGAGAGAATGACAGAGAGCACGGATTTAAACCACAGAGTGAAGGCTGATTGGCTCAAAGATGACTGAGAGAGAAGATGACTGGACAAGATTGGAGTAATGACATTGTTGAAATTGACCAACGTTTTTCCTGCCTGCTTGATCCTCTCTTTTTTTCTTCATATAACTGTAATGATAATAACCATCCGAACATGGTATTACCAAATTTCTATGGACAATTTCTCACTTCACAGAGAGAGCAAGCTAGATGGTGAGCAAGAGATGGGTTTAACATGCACACAGCGTCAGCACCTTTACAGAAATCGCTTTGTGCATTTATTTTAGTCAATATTTGACTTATTTACTGACAAAATGGAGGCTTCTTAAGTTTTCCAGCTTGGTCTTTTTTCCTTACATCAGTTATAACAAACTGATGGTAACAAAACTGGAGGCATCGTATTCGATTTGGTTTCATTCCATCCTGTACAATAGTATAACATCTTCAACAGAGGCCTGTGTGTTTTATATGACAATGATCTGCAGTTCTGAACATCAGTAAATTTAATCCACTTTACAATTTGTATCCCATTCAGGTTATATAATGACTGTTGTCAGGTGGAACAAAATAACCTGGCAACATAAGTCAAGAATGGTCAAAGACAAGACAGTTTGAAACATCTTAAAGGTCTCAGCTGTCTGTGTCACTAGACTGCAGTTATATTTCTCCCAGACAGCAGGACAGGGATATTCTTAACCACTGATGACATTCCTCACCACCTGAATCTGTGACTCTGCTGTCGTGAAACTTCTGGTGCATGGATGCCAGACTGATGGAAGTTCACACAAGTGGCTGTGAGGAATGTCAAGTTACAGCGATGTGGCTGTGCATCTCATCTCCAGCTCTGAGACATGCTCGTGCCTCCTAATTGGAAAATTCTTCAGGGGTCCTCTTGTGCTTTATGTCGATGGAGAGCTGCACAGACTCACCAGTGCCTCAAAATCAGAGGATTTAAGTGTCACAGAGCTGTAATTTGTGTTGACCTGTATATGCTTGGCCTGCCTTTTTTGAGTGTTACATTTTTGTTGGGGCAAAGTTAAGAGGATTTTATGCATTTAGGACCAATGTCTAAATTACAGGAGGTGCATGAAGGAAAAAAGAAGGGCTCTTTAAATTTAAAAGTGATTGTCATCTGGATAAAGCAAGAACAGTGACAGGAAGCAAAGGTGTACCAGGCCCGCTGCTGAAATGCAGGGGAAAAGCATTTCTGTTTTTGTGCACCAACCAACAGAATATTTTACCCTGTAATGAGAGAGATGAGTTTACCTTTTGGGCTCTGTGCTTAAAATAGCTTTCTATTCTTTTACAAAAGGAAGCTGTTTTGAGTTGTAATTTGCTTGTGTTTGTGTATTGTGAAGGAAATACCCAAATACAGGACAAAAAAAGAAAAACTTCCAATGCACAGTCCCAAAAGGGCCTAAACAGGAAGCCAAGCCTTTAGGGAGATGTGCACACAGACACCACAACAAAGAGCAAAGGTGAAGGACTGGACTATTTATCCATATGGGCTAATCAGGGAAGTGGAAACAGCTGGAGGAATGAGACACAGGTGTGGATAATCAAGACAATTACAAAGGAACGCAAAATTCAAAGCTAGGCACAAAAGAGATCTACCAAAGTAAAACAGGAAACAACCCAAAAGATGACAACTAAGTGTACAAGACAAATGAACAAAATGATACTGAACTGTATATGACGGGAAACAATGAGAAAGTTGAAACACAGGCACCAAACTCCATAGATATAGCAAAACTACAATAAAACCAAACAGAAATACATAAGGCTAATTCAACACTACCAAGAACTGAATGTCAGATCAGGACAGTAAAGCAACAAAACTACTTAATAAGATTTACTACTTTGAATTTTCTAAAATGTTAACCCCGCCTTAGCCATCAGCAGAATGGTACAGATGTTAGCTATCAAGACAACACAGCTCTGTCATGTTTTAAGTTTTGGACTCCAGCAGTAGGAATAAAATCCCTGATATATTTGTTTTAGGGGCCTGTATACCATACTATAGTTGATCAAACATCTGATCAGTTTGAATACAGGTGAACTCACAGAATATGCATTATCCTGACATTACAAGCAGTCTCCAAACACCAGACATAACAATGGACACAACACTTATGTGAAATTTAGTGGGTGAATACTTATTACTATGTAAACACTAGGGGTGCAACAATACTCGTATCGATATTGAACCGTTCGATACAGTGCTTTCGGTTCGGTACGCATATGTATCGAACAATACAAAATTTTTATTTATTTTATCAACTTTTCTTCTGACGATGCTGTCTGTGTTGAGAGCTCAGTGGATCTGCGTTCGACTACTCCGCCTATAGGCTGCACTGACGAGTGCAGAT